AGACCCTTAAGCAGACTTCATGCCCAGCACTGAGCCCAGACTCACATCTCGATCTCACCACCCTGAGACCATAGACCTGAGCCAAAATCACGAGTCAGAAGCTTAACCGATTGAGCCATCCAGGCGCCCCTGTATCGTGACTTTTTTTTAATGACCCAATGCTGTTTCCAGGATTCGAATAGACCATAGAACCAAAACTTAGTTCATTTTAAGTATGTTTTCACCTTTTGCCCAAAGCCTGTTAATTAATTTGAACTAGTGTGAATTTTTCTAGCATTCCCTTGTTGCTAGCCAACTCGAGAGGAAATCACCAAACGCTAGGCAGTGGGAGAAAACAGAGAAGGAGCCCCCAGAAACCGACAGCAAAGGTCTCCAGACTCTAGATGTTCAGGGTTGGACTGCATTCACCATGCATGTAGTAGTAAACAAAGTGATTACCCTATAAGTGATTCAAAGGGTTGCTTCTAAGTTTTTGTTAAGAGAGAAAGAAAGAAAGAAAGAGAAAGAAATAAGAAAGAAAAGGAAAAAAAAAAGAAAAAGAAAAATACTATGACATAACCACATCTTATTGATTCAAATTTTCATCTTGGTAAAAACAAGACGATTTGATCACACACAGAGAGGTGAGCCTGTTTGGCCTGTTGGCCCAGATCTTGGCTGTGGGGGAGGGGAGGAGGGTCAAAGTGGACCCTCGCAAATGAACCCTTCCTTGGGAATAGCTTTTTGTGAGCGCAAGTTGTGTCTGCCTAATTTTGTGGAACAATGAATTCCCTCTAAATATTGTTCATGGGGAAGTGCTGAACTGTGAAAATATTGGATACTTCTGATATGGCCCAGTTTTCTTTAGCCAATGTTATGCTCGGCAAAAAGCATGAGAAATGCCCCACAAGCAGCTCAACAGAAGTGACCACTGTGAAGTGCTGCCTACATGGGAGTAACCTGTTCTGGAGAAAGCTTTGTCTTCATCCCCACGTTAGATCAAGTTGTCCTAAAGCCCATGTCAATGTGCTTCCGTTGAGCACTCTTCAACAAGTAACCCTATAACATATTCTTGCCCCCTCTGTATTCACACACCAGGAATTTGCCTGCTACATCTTTTATTCAGATCTTATAAAGTAATTAATTAATTATACATATATAATGTGCTTAACATTTGATATGAAAAAAATATACACATAACAACTACAAATTTTAATAGCTAAGCCTTTATTTAGACTTTACTATGTGCAGGCAGGCACTGTGCTAAGCGCTTTACATGCATCATTTCATTTAATCCTCACCAATCCCATGTGGTTGATAGATCCTGAAATTATCCCACATTTATATATAAAGAAGCGAAGCTTAAGCAGGTTAAGTAAATTACAGACGATCACACGGCTTGTAAGTAGCAAAGGCAGGAAAAGGTAGCCGCAGAAGTCAGGTACCAGATCACAGGAATGCAATGTTCATGGAAAGGGCATTTGGATGTTGTTCATAATGTGATGGGAAGACCATGGCGGTTTCTGAGCAAAAGAACAGCATGATCTGATCCTTGTGTGTGTGTCTACCGCAAACTATACATAATACAAAATACACTGTTTTAATCCTTTTCAAGTGTACAATTCGGTGGCATTAAGAACATTCATACTGTTGTGCAACATCACCACCATCCATCCCCAGAATTTTTCTACTTCCCAAACTGAAACTCTGTACCCATTAAACACTAACTCCCTGTTTCTCCCTCCCCCAGTCTCTGGTAACCATGTTTCTACTTCCTGCCTTGATTTTGACAACACTAGATACCTCATATGGAATCATACAATTTGTATTTTTGCATCTGGCCAATTTCATTCAGGATAATGTTTTCTAGGTCCATCCATGTTACATCATGTATCAGAATTGCATTCCTTTTATGACTAAAAAATATTCTACTATAGGGATATACTACATTTTATTTATCCAATGGATTAAATAAAATCTATTATCAAAATTAATTTCATTTCCTTCTTTTTACTTTTTAAAAATATGGCTCTTTGAAAAGGAGCAGTTACATATGTGACCCACATGTGTAGATTGCCTCATATGTCTCTTGGACAGCTCTGCTTTAGAGTCTTTGTACAATTATGGAGAAAGCATGGAAAAACTACCTTAATAATTTTTTAAGTGTCATGGGGAAGAAAGGAAAGCAGGTTGTTGCTGACTATAAGAGCCCCCAAGAACAGAACTATGCCCTACAAAGGCACAAAATGCCCCAGAAATAGCAGTTTTGTATGAAGGACACATGATTTTATGGCCAAAGAAAGCATTTGTTATAGTGGATTGTTCACCAAAGAGAATTCATTGAAATCAAATCAACAGCTCATTCATTATGGAGGGTGGAGGAATCTAATGGGAAACAGGAACCATTTGCTCACTGCTAGCCTGATGAAGATTAAAATGAGTGTCAAGCAATCAGCAGAACGAAACATGAATGTGTTCTGTAAAATGTTTATTAACCTTTCTAAACAAGACATCATACTATAACAGAAATATTTTGCTGAGAGATTTTTTTTTTAAGTCACAAATCTGGTAGTAAAAAAAATCACAAAAGCTGAACCAAAACACACCAGCAGCTTGAGAAGCACTGGATGTACTGGGTGGCATCGTCATTCACCATCATTCTTGTTCAGAGATGCAGGGACAGAAAAAATGCAGACATTGAGGGTTCAAGTTGGAATCTGACCAAAGAATGCAGTAGCCTCCAAATACCCAATTTAGAGCTGATGTGAGCTCATATGATGACATCCTACACACACAAAACAGTATTCCATGTCTTTGTTCCAAAATCAATAGAGCTATGTCTGAGCGGTTTTACCAATAGTGAGCCATCCACTCCCTCTTTTAACATAAGACAGCACTGTCCTCTTGAGAAGTCCAAAGGGGTTGGTGCACAGAGAGCTTGGAAAATTAACATTCATTTATTAGTGTTATCACAAGGTCACTTCAGCCCAGGGGCATGCTTTGGAATGCTGAGTTTTTAGTAGATTGCCTGTCTTTTTGCATGCATGTTTTAAAATTTCTGTGTAACCTCTCCTTTCAGCATTGTATCACTCTTCCAAAAAATAAAAATAAAAAGCACTCTTCCTGATTAAAAATTACTCAGCCCATGTTGGAGCTACTGTCCATATTATGACCACAAGCCATCCTCCCTCTGGGTTTCAGAGCTGTTGGGATACGGAGATCTGCACGTCCTCTTACCTGCCGCACCCATGGAGATACAGGGCAAGTGCATAAAGATAAAGCTCTGCTGACAGACCTACGTTTTCAAATTACCACAAGAAACTTTCTCTAAGCAGTCTATTATTTAGGAATGACAGGACACAAAAAGGAGTAATGATATATGGTTGCCCAATTTGCATATGATCAGGTGACACTCCACGCCAGAGAGGACTAGAACAGAATGATCTGAATTGAGGCCAAGCTCTGATGACTAAATTTCATGCTGGATGTACGTCTCCCAACACGCATGTTCCAGTGTAAGCTACTTTAACCTTCTGGCCCCTGCTCTATTTCCCCATACAATCTTTTTCCTTAAGGAAAGGGTTAGACCCATTTGCCTTCCTGAAGCATTAGTCCGTGCCAGCAACCGGAGTCCGGGGGAAGACACTGCTACCAAAAGACAGAAGTGACCCGTCCTGCCACCCCTCCTTGTGGCCGTGTGGATGAACATGTCAGTTACAGAACCTGTCATCCCCGAGAGCCCGAGGCCAGGATGGAGAATACACACGCGTCCCCTGGGACAGGGCAGCGCGCTCCCACCCGCTCACACCTCTGGGCCCTGCGCTCCACAAGAGCTGTTATTGATGAGAATGCAAAGCCTGCTCACCGAGGGGAGAAGGGGTAAGTAGAGCACAGTGCCCATAAAAGAGCTGTTTGCTACCTATTTTTCTTCTCAGCTCCTAGCACAGCCTCTACCTAGTAGGTGCTCGGTTCATGGTAGATATTTCCTGAATAAATTGAGTCCTCTGCTCCTGGGAGACCACGTATCACTGTGATACATAACAAGTCAGCTACCCTTATGTGAAAAGACAGTCCCTAGGCAAAGTTCTTGCTATTCCTGATTACTCAAAATGTGAGCCCTTTCTCGTAGTTTCTCTGGTTTTGTATACACAGATTCGGGACGAAGCCCTCTGGTTGTGTTTGTAAATCTCTAGAGCAGGACATTAGCATTCAGAAGCACTTATGAGAGGAATAAACCCCTTATGAGAATCCAGGACTCCACAATAAGATATTTCTCAGCTGTCAAACAAATAATTTACAACATGGGTGATGGAGTCAGGGGCAGGATTTGGATTTTAAATGAAGCAAGTATGCAGAACTAGAAGATTATAGTTTCGAGCAGGAAAATCAATGGGATGTTGGAAATTTGAGATCTCCTCACAGGCTTAATAATATAAAACACCAGGATCAGATAACAGATATTGGGTTCTTGGGAAACCACAAGGTTGGGTAAGTCGACTTTTGCTTGAAATGTACATTTCCTAGAGCTTGGGAGGAAGAACAACAGTGGAACTCTGCCAAGGGAGGAGGAGGGAGAGGGAGGGGGAGAGTCCTTTCATTCAGATCCATCATCTTTGACCCGAAATCAGTGCCCTTACCTCTCAAAAGACAGTATTGTATTTTTCTCCCACTACAGGTAAGTTTTACTCAGTCCCCCTCTAGTTTCATGAGCAGTTGGAGCTTTCAAAAATGTTTCCGTTGTGGAGGGGGGTCCAAAACGGAAATTTGTCTGGACTTGCTGACCCCTACAAATCCCATACAATTTGTTCAGGACAAAATAATACATCTGTATTTCATTGACCTTAGGTCCACGGCTTCAAGTTCACAGAAAACTATATTCGATAAACATGCAGAGAAAAGGAAACAGATACCAAACCATCATCAAGGCAGCCTGCTGTGAAAATACATGGTACCAATGACACCGAGACTTCTGAGACTTCGTTTCTTTCCTTCCTTCCTTCCTTCCTTCCTTCCTTCCTTCCTTCCTTCCTTCCTTCCTTCCTTCCTTCCTCCTCTTTTCAAGCATGTGTTTATTCAACACACATTTATTGGACACCTAATACCCTTTACATATCTGTTGCCAGCTGATCTTTTCAGGCCAGGCACACATTTGCATTTTATTTTCATATCCAAAAATCTGCCTGAAGTTGAGCAAACTTGGGCCGAAGACACAGGGACCCACTCTCAGCGCTTGGGTGTCCCAGCACCTGCCAGCCGCGCGTCCCCGGAATTGAGGACATCGTGTTTTCAATTTTCTTCAATAAAGCAATGAATCTGGCAATTTGCTGGCCTGCTTCAGCTAAACAGAAAGGACAATTTGAGAAAGATCATAGTTCAGGCCCAGTCAGACGGAAACGATTGAAAACAGAGAGCTGGCCGCTATGTTTCCCCAATGCAGCTTGCTGCCGCAGTTTGACTGACAAACTGACTTTTTTGAGGTGCTCATGCCCATTTCAGTCAGAGTTTATTGAAGGTGATTTTGATCTTCTCCATGAGGCCACAGCAGTGGCCATGCCATCTGTCACCTTGATTGCATCGTGGATTCTCTGGAGAGAGCGCCGTGGCTCCTGATCATTTACAGATTGCGCTGCTTTCCCCTCCATAAGGACCACATGCACAGAGCCAGATGGTGAACATGCACGCTTATTATAAGTCTTTATCTCCGTGCAGGAAGGAGAGGAACCATTAGGTCTCCCTCAGGAGCTCTGCTCCTCTCTACCATCATGCTGCTCCTCAGCAAATACAGTCTTCTTCAGCTGTCATCAGCCTACCTCTGAAAATTAAAAAAATAAACAATAATTCCATCAGCCAAGGCCAGAAAAACCAAGACCAGACCGCAAAGCAATCCCCCCTTGACTCGCCTTCCTTTCTTTTCTTTAACCTCCCACTGGCCTGTCAGCACAAGGTAAAAACAAGTTTGTTTGCAAATGCATCATTCATGTGTTGATTTTTTTTTAAAGAGGTCAGGAGGGCCTGCCGCTTGGAAATCAAGCGACATGATCCTATTTTCTGTTATTGGGCTCATGGCTTCCACTGCATTGGCCTCGTTTGGTTCCATTTAAGGAGTCGGGGTTCATTTGACAGATTTTAAAATTCTACGTGGTTTTTCTACAATAATCCCAGGAAGGGGACCACCTGTGAGCCAAACGTAAGGGATGTCGGTGCTGGTGACTGAGCGAGAATGGAAAACCCCAAGTACAGTGGAACTCTAGAAAAAGTCCTTTTAGTAACCTCTCCAACGGGGAAAGAGAGAACGTGGGAGGCTGGGGGTGCGTCTGGAGAGCGGAGCGAGCTCAGCTCAGAGATCCAAGTGACAGCTGGTCAAAATGTGTGTCTTCTCGCAAACCACCACTGTCACTGACTGTTAGGGATTCCGAGAGGGTCCAAAAGAAACCGAAGTGGAACTGAAACACGTGCAAAAATACTGACAAAGTAAGTACACATTAGTTGTAAACGAGATCCTCAACTTTTTTCATTTTTATAGGTGTAACTTACATATGGTAAAGCACAGACTTCTTAAAGGTAGATTTTGGTTTTTGCATATAAATACTCCACCAAGGTCCGGATGTAGGACATGTCCAGAACTCCAGCAGCAGCAGGCTTGTGATAAATAAATAAATAAAATAAATGTTTATAGGCAGATTTAGTAAGAAGCCCACGTCCTCTGTCTGCTCTGCTTTTTCCATAAAAAATACACTCAAGCTGTGAAGTCTCTTCTCGTGTGCTCGCTCTCTCCTGCTCAACCCCCACTCTCTCTTTTTCCCTCCCTTTCTCTCTCTCTCTCTCTCTCTCACACACACACACACAGAGAAGATCGAAGGAAAGAGAGTGGGGCTTGGCCTTTGCCACCGGGAGACCCCAGCTCTGTGGGAAAGCCTCCACCAGTGAGCAGCTGTATGCAGAAACCAGGGAAAGGTTTCCAGTGACCCATAAGCTTGAAGTCTCACCTACATGGGTCATTCATTTCAAATAGCTGCCATGTTAACCCAATGGTTGCAATTACTAAAATCCAATAGCTTTGCTCAGACACTAAATCTAAGCGATCTCGGAGCCCACTAAGACAGTCACATAATCTCTTTTGGTTTAGGTTAAAATGGCATAGGATTTCTCTCTTCATGAAATGCTAAGTCGAGACCATCTCCTACACAATATTTCTCAAGGACCTGGCTCTTCCAGAAGTATCAGCGTTTGGTGGGAATGCAGGATAAGCTACAACAGAGTAAGTGTAAAAAAAGAAAAAAATGACTGAGAAATCCCACTGGAGAGTGGAAGCGTGCACACACGCATACACACACACACACACACACCAAGCTGCTTACACATCCACGTCTCCTCAAAAAGTAATTGAATCCAAATCACTTCCTAAACCAAGTCCAAAAGTTATTTCACATGTTTAGGTGACATATCAGGGACCTTTCCAGTATATATTTGAATAGAAGATAATTATCAAACAGACCAACTTCATTTTTGTAAGCCCATCATTTATAAACCCATCAACTTCCATGATGGTACAGCTTTATTTACATTTTCTGTGAAATAAAACAACTGCTCTTAACAGAATAAAGTCACTACAAAATATTTTTAGAGGAAGAAATTTAGTGTGGTTTTAATCCATTGCAAATGTTTTTTCAGAGGAGAGGTTTAAGGTACACTCCTATTCTTAAACCAGCTTTTTTTTTTTTTCCACTTTGGGGCATGAGGAAATGTGTGCCCATAACACTCTGTGAGGATGCGGGTGTGTGCAGGAAATGTATGGATTTGATAGGCTTGTGTGCTCACTATACTTGAGATAGTTTGCAAATGGTAGTTAAAAACACGAACAAGAAAAAACTAGTCATGCCTATCTAAAATAATTCCTGGTCCCTGAACATAGCCTCAAATACTTAAGCACACAGATTTTTAAAAAATATCATCGTTCTCCCCAATGTTTATCAATTTTCTACCAAGGATAGATAGGAATAAGTGTGGAATTAGCTCTACCTAGTTAAACAGATGATCTTGATCTTCGTAACATCACACTGTTCTGTACTTTTGGCCTAAAAACCATTTATAGAGATGCACATTGAAAACCAAATCACCAAGTACAGTTCACCCTCTCCAAAAGGAAGCAAGATAATCAGAAATAATATGGTGCCTTTGACTAAAAGTAAAAATGTGGTTTCATAAAGTGAAAAAAGATGACTAAGGCCCAGGAAAAGGAAAGGGAAACTGGGTTTGATTACTTAGTGTTAACGAAATGTGCTAAGAGAGAGGAAGACTCCCTGGCCCCCACGTGGGGAGAAGATACTCCTGCAAATCTGAACCATGGACTGTTTCTATTTTGCATTCTGGTTATATCACTTCTAGTAAGGCTAGGATCAGAAGCTCAGTGCACTGCTGCCCTGACTACGTCCTCGTGTTCAGGTGCAGGGAGAGGCCAAGAGGCCATGGAATCAGGCTGGGGTTGAATTGCAGCCTTTTTACTTGGCCTTGCACTTGGACAGGTTGCTCGCTTTCTCCCAGTTGCATATTCTCTCTCTGCCAATGAGCAACATAATTCCAATCTCCCAAGTGAGGATTCACTGAGATGAATGAGAAAACCTCTGACATGTTATCTGGCTTGTACTGAGCCCTGAAAGCACGCTACAACTGAAATGAAACTAGCACAAACGTCACCATTTCTCATAAAAGAGGGGCTGCAAACACATACCCCGTGCAATAATGAAGATTATTAGGTGTCAGCGTAGAAATCATATTTTGTAAAGCAGCCAGAACTGTAAATGCATATTTGATGGCAGGGAAGTGGGCAGGCTGATGAAGAATAGGAGTCCTACATCAAGCTCTAGGCTCCACCTGCCATTTGGTTACCCTGTGACCTTGTGCACCTCACTGGAGTTCTCCGTGTTCCGGTTTCTCCACCTGAAAAAGGGGGTGACAATGAAGAACCTACCACAAGATTAGATGAGTTCATGGAGGTAACGTGCCTGGCAAATCAGAACCATTATAAAAGTTAGCCAGCGCTCCAAGGGCTCCGAAGGCTGTGAAATAATAGCTCATGATTTCATCCGTTGCTAACTTGGCTGTGGTGCAGCCATAAAACCTTATTGCAGCTCAAAAGCCCAGGAAACTGACCAAAATTCATTGTTCAATTTTATTGGCTGCCTTTGGTTTCCAGTGTTCGCTAAGTTGGAACTCTTGTTTATTTTATTTCATTGCTACAAACCATACCTATAAACTTACTAAGCTGTGTCGCATCTCACACACACATGGACACACAGACACACACAGACAAACATATTCTTTGGACAGGGTGGGGGTAGCCCACAGCCAAAGTACAACAGAAGAGTGGCATTATTTTGGACTCACAAGACTTGGATCTTGGTCCTCATTCTATTACTTCACCTTGGATAAAGCACTTATTCTCTCTGTATCTATAAAATAGGTCTTGGAATGCCTTTTTACTTCATGGGGTTGCTGTAATCTGTGAAAGGACTTTGAAACATCTGACGCACCATACAAGCTTAAATATCAGGCATTGGTATTCTGTATGAAAGACAGCATCACCACCAAACATTAATGAGTAGTATATAGATTAATGAAGATTTGGTAATAATTGTATGACTGTCAGAAATAAGATTCTAGTTGAGAAGCAAAAGCATCAAAATCTACTGCCTTCTGAACCACAAGGCCAATATGGAGGTCTATCTAAATTCTGCTCCCAGGGGCCTCAGGGGTTCCCGGATCAAGTGATTTTGATTAATAGAGTGGACGAATAGGGCTCACATTTTAATTTTGCTTCTTCCTATCTTTGAGAATATTTCCAATATTACATTGTCTATCCCCCAAATAGCATAATACCCAAATGAAAGTAAATCCAACAAAATCTGCTTAACTCAGGCTGCTTTAAAATAAGAGTTCCTACAATGGGACAGTTGGTCCCAATCCTGGTTTAATATGTCTGCAGTACAAAGGGTCTTTGCTGCCTCCTGTTACTGCAGGAAAAGGAGCTTATTAAAATAAATGTAGAATAGAATTTAAGCGCCTAATAGGAATGGAAAAACAATAATTATTATTGTAGATTAGTATTAATAATAAACAATAGACCTGTTTTTCAGGATATTTCTTATTCTTGCACTGTAATTTAATTCAGTAATATTCAAATTTCAAGGGTTACTTCATATGAATAAAAAAAATGGAAATAATTATTTTTCCTTAAAAAGTTCCAAAGATTCTTTTAAAGAATGATATGACAATAAAAAGGCAGTTCTAAAAATAAATTCAAACAACCCATAATGAATAAAGTAATTCAAATCAAAATAGCGTTAGAAAACATACAAGCACATAACCTTTTCTTTTTCTTTCTGTCATTCTGTAAGCCTCAGAAGCTAATTGATTACGATCTAAAAAATAAGTATTTTTAAATAATAATATCATAATGTGTAAAATAAAAATCAGTGTGCGTATGTCTATGTGTTTGTGTGTACGTGAGTGTATGTGTGTGTGCATGAGTGTGTGTCTGCTCAAGCCAAGTTCAACTAGCAGGCAGTGATCACACGTCTCATCGTGTGAATGGCATTAGATATCTTGTTCAAAATTTCTGATTAATCTGATTAAGCTAGTGAGTGAATAATCCTTTAATCCTCTCAAGAATACAGTTTATGTCTGCTGAGTGTCAAATTTAAGACTAGTAAGCTGTAAATACTGAAATTTAAGTGAAAGAAAGGCAAGAAAGGCAGCCACCCAAAGTCAAACTGTGTCGCCTCTTTTCTGGATTCTGTCTTTTGTGGGTGACCTTCTCGGCTGAAATGAGAATGAGAAACATTAGGAAAAATAATAAATCATCCTGCAGCGGTGGTTCTGCAGCAGGGAGTATATCAGTCACCGAGGACCCATCTCCTAGCATGTGCTTCTCTTTTCCCAACCAGTTTAATTATAAATTAATGAATACTGCCTTTCGCTTCTCATTTCATTCTGAAGCAGAAATGCTTAAAACCAGATATTTATTTTATAGTTGGAAAACTATCTCAGAAGCTAATGGCTAAATATTTGCAGAATCACACAAACAATTAAAAAAAAAAACAGGAAAAGGAACATCCTTTCATTAAAATCCCAGAGGATGACACTTTAGAAACTGTTACTGCATTTAGAATAACAGAGAGTTTTAGGTCAAATGAATTGAGGTGCCTTAATGCTGCTTTATCATCACGCACCAAATTTAAAAAAGAACAATAAGGTAAGATAGTGTGGTGAGGTGGTTAGAGGAGGATGGTGGTGATTCTTTTGCTGCCCAAGGAAAATAAAAAGTAAACAAAAAAAAATTATTTTGAACCAATTGGCTTACTTGCTTCCTTTTTAAGGGCATTTGACCACCTACTTTTTTTTTTCTTAAATATGGTTGAATACTCTTCTCCATTTCTGGGGTTCCTGGGGGGCTCAGTCAGTTAAGTGTCTGCCTTCAGCTCAGGTCATGATCCCAGGACCCTGGAATGGAGCCCAGTGCTCAGCATGGAGTTTGCTTCTCCCTCTGCCCCTCCCACACCCTCCGCGCGTGCGTGTGTGTGTGTGTGTCTCAAATAAATAAATAAAATCTTTTTGAAAAATACTCTTCTCCATTTCTGTAC